TTTCTTGTTCAAGAAATATGTTGGAGTTTTCCAACTCTGAACTTGCAATATATATAAATATATACGTGTATATATAAAGGAAATACAAGTTTTGTTGTTGTTCTTTTGGGTCAATTTTTTGTTCTGCAAACCCTGATATCAGTTAATTGGATCTTCAATTTTTTCGACGGATTTATAGTGCAAAACTGATAATTTGGTAAGTGAGTGCTTTACTGGATTCAATTAATTTGTAGTTGGTAGCTCGGGAAGTATGGTATTCTTAAAATCCTGGACTTTGTTGATTTTACAGTGTTTAGAAAGGGAATGTTCTTACAGCTTACTTGTAACTATTATCATTCAATTTTTTATGCAGGAATGAAGGTGATCTCAATTTTATGGTTGTTGCTTTGTCAAAGTGGAGACTACAAAATAATAAAATCAAGTGAAATGGCAGGATTTTTTTAGATTGTGCTATGAAATCTAACAATCAGGAAGAATTGGTTGAAAAAAGATGAGAATAAGTGAGGAGTCATACTGGTTTTTTTTCTTAATCTCTAGTTTTATTGGATGAAGACTATAGTTGTAATTTTGTTGTGGTGTTTTTATTAAATACATGTTTTAATTGTGGTGTAATTATAATGTAGCGTGGTAAGTAAAATGAATTTTGCTCCTTTGCCAGAAAACGGCTGCCCACTTGGGTGACCGACCCTCACAAGAGGGTGGGACCGACGTGGGGCCCGGCCAAAATAAAAAATGAAAAAAAAAGCCCCCCTCCCCCCAATGTGAGTAATCTGTCGGGGGGGTGTCACCACCCCCCTGGCACTGCAGCTCGGTTCAAGTAAAATTTGTTGTGGTAATATAACTACCCTTCTAATATTACTTTTTAATAAGATATATTAGCTACTGTTTGGTGCACATTTTTTCTCCAAAAATGTATTTTTTTGTTTGATGTGATGGGAAATATGTGATAGAAAAAGAAGGAAAAGTTATTGATGTAATGTAAAATATTATTTTATTGAAAAATGTGTGATTGAAAATGAGTAGAAGAATGAGAATGAAAAAATAATGTGGTTCAAACTAGGGTTTAATCAAATACTCGAGTAGTTACCTGGGTATGCTATGCTATTATCTCTTATGGATAATTTTAGCATCAAAATTTGTGCTGCAGACTGCAATAATTCACCAAATGATCTGCAGTTCTTAGAGTTGGACCCTATTTTGATTCATTCATCATTTCTCATGGGCCGAAGTAATTGGGTGATATGTTTGGTGGGACTTTTTAGTAGATTGTGATTGAAATTTTTGAAATGTGTGGTTGAAAAGTTGTGGAACTCAAGAAAGACGTGCTTAATATTTGATTGTTTGACTTTGATTTTGATTAAAATCCGATTTTAATCCAAAACAAACAAAGTATTATAACCAAAATCCTATATCAGAGCCCGGTCCAGCCCAACCTGTTCAACTTTTAATCCAACGGTTGATATGAACGCGTTGGATTAACGCTACGCGACAAAGCACATCGCAAAACCCCTGGGAAAAAAAAACCCCTACTCTGCCTATTATATATAAATACAAACATTACACGTATAAGCGTAAATATCACGTCTCTGATCTATCTCGGATTCTTGATCCTCCATTCTGTTTTTCTCTTTCTAGAAGACAGCATATACAAATGGTGAGACTCAGTTTTTTTTTTCTTTTTTCTTTTGGGCGAATTTAGATTATTGTATATGATGTAACTTTGGAATTGATTTGATGAGATTTAATTGATTTGGGTTTTTGTGGTTTTTTAGGCGTTGCCAAATCAGCAGACTGTGGATTACCCAAGTTTCAAGCTCGTACTTGTTGGCGATGGTGGCACCGGTAAATTTATAGAATTTAGTATTTTAAATTATTGTTTTTGATCTTGAATTTATGTTTTTTGTTCGATTGATATTTTGGTGAACTAAGATTTTTTTCCCCCTTTTTTAGTTTTACTGTTTTAAATATGTTTCGCATATATAATGAATTGTGTTTGGATCATGAGTACTTTTCTATCATGAAATTTCGAGATTAGGGTTTTGAGAGTACTTTGAAATTACATGGATTGGGTTGAAAACAAGGGTATTTCTCGAGCCAATGAATTTCAAGAGTAGGTTTTGAGAATTGACTATACTGGTTTTGTCCATGTACTGAGAATTTACTAAATTGAACTACTATTATTCTAATTTGAAGTTCAAATTTAGCTATTTTTATAGAGCTATATCCGATGTATGTTAGAATTGATCTCTATTTAAGTTTGCTTAAATCCTAATTTGAAGCTTATGTTTTGTGCTATCTAACATATCGAATGAGCAAATGAAGAAGAACAAATGGTGTTTGATGCATTTATCTTGTATCATAATGAGTTTTCACTGAATTGGAGTTTCTTTTGGTGTTACAGGGAAAACTACATTTGTGAAGAGGCATCTCACTGGTGAATTTGAGAAGAAATATGAACGTGAGACTGATTAAATCTTTTGTCATAAATGAAAATTTTGTTACATACTTTTCTATAGTCTATTTTTTCTAACTATATGTCGCACAGCAACCATTGGTGTGGAAGTACATCCACTGGATTTCTTCACAAACTGTGGGAAGATCAGGTTTTATTGCTGGGACACAGCTGGTCAGGAGAAATTTGGTGGCCTTAGGGATGGATACTAGTAAGTGCAGTTCCTATTATTTGTATGACTATCAATTTCAAAATTAAGTAGTTTTATAGCTCCTCCATGGCAAAATTAGCTTATTACTTCCTCTCTGGCAAAATTTTCATGTTCGATAATGCACTTGATTCTAACCTGGCAATGTGCTTTTGTTAGACATTACAGGCTTGTTTCCAATTGATCAAGCATCTCACTGAAGTTTAATTTGTGCAGCATCCATGGACAATGTGCCATTATTATGTTCGATGTAACGGCACGATTGACTTACAAGAATGTTCCAACGTGGCATCGGGATCTTTGCCGGTATGGATCTTCATCTATTCTATTATTTCTTTATTTCTGTGTGTATTTCTATGGGAGATTGACATGGTACTGGGATCACTTATACTGCCTACCGCAGGGTCTGCGAGAACATCCCAATTGTGCTTTGCGGCAACAAGGTTGATGTGAAGAATCGACAGGTGAAGGCAAAGCAAGTTACGTTCCACCGGAAAAAGAATTTGCAGTACTATGAAATCTCAGCAAAAAGTAACTACAATTTTGAGAAGCCTTTCCTGTACCTTGCCAGGAAACTTGCTGGGTAAGTAGTGTAAACCAGTGACTGGCCTTATAAAACAATTGAAAAAGATGGGTTTAGTTTCCATTTTCTGAGTCAATTGCATTGCATGCAATTTGAATTGCTGAATGTGAATATTTTTGTGGTTTTGTAGGGATGCTAACTTGCACTTTGTGGAATCTCCTGCTCTTGCTCCACCAGAAGTACAAATCGATTTGGCTGCACAGCACCAGTAAGAATCTATCATTTCTCTCACACGCTCACACACTTGTAGGGTATTTTGCTAAAATTGAATTAGCAAAGCATTATCAGGTTTTCTAGTTATTTGGACTGCGGATGATAAATTCTGAACAGCATTTTCAATCTGTTTAATCTTTTCGCCTTCTGTATGTCTGTAATATCTGGCTATGCTTGATAGATTCAGAACCGCAATTTCAATGTGTTCAATCTTTTCGCGTTCTTTATGTCTGTAATATCTGGCTATGACAAAAACATGATATATGAAATCAATGCCTATGTTAATGGAAATAGTTTTCCAGTCATTTTAAATATGTGGCTTGTAAACCTTAACTAAAATCGATCAGATTATAATTGACATTTTAGGATTTCACACTGAACATGTTTTTGTGAGTATTAACCGTGATTCCTGTTGATTTTTATTTTTGCAGGCACGAGGCCGAGCTTCTTGCAGCTGCCAGTCAACCACTTCCTGATGATGATGATGATGCTTTTGAGTAGGGGGAATGTTGGCTGTGTATCTTCCCCTATGGTGCATTCCTTTTATTATATGGTGGCGTCCCTGTTTTCCTTTACTTAGTCAAATTCTCATGATATCATGAAGAGTACTGTGGCCTTCAATCACATGGGAAGGCTATTAAATTCTGAGCTTGTTTGCTCGTTGGTAGATGTTTTATCACAACTTCCTAACGTTAAACTATTATTTTGTACTATGCAAGTGGAAGTTTTAGATACATATGGTTCAACAGTTGCTCTGTTTTTTACCTACTCTACTATATAAAATATGTTTTTACATATTTTGACATTTGCTATCCGTTTGTGGGTATTCCATGAGATGAATCATAGGGGCATTTTATACATTTTGATGTTTTACTTGGGTGGTGGTTTATGTGTTTGAGAACTCTGATATCGTATACTGTGTTTGGCATTTGATGGATTGGTTACGAAGAAAAGTTAAAATTTTGTCAATTGTATTGTGGAGTACTGCATGCCAAACTTGCAACTTAATCTTAAACGTTCTATGCTGCTTTTATATTCAAATATTTGGCATGATCTATGTTCATTCTTGAACTCAGTATAATTCTTTGCACCATCTAGCCAGTTTTCTGAATTCAACATTTGACCTCGAAAATAATCACCATAACACGAGGTATTCTAATTCACAAGAGCACTACAAAGAAAATGAAAATGCAGTAATTCTATTCTTTCGGAAAATTACCACACTGCTTTAAAAGCATCAACTCATCCCCAGTTTCTTAATCCAACATACACGAAATATTTGTATCCAGAAAGTTAAGAAAAATAAGAATAATCTTGAAGTTGCGTTCGCCAGATGGCTTGCAATAAAACTATACAAACATTTCAGAAGAAGCATTTTAGCATTGTAAAGATTATAGATATTCACTGCTTTCAACACCATCATCTTCAGATTTAAAAAAAAAAAAGTTATTATCTGAATAAGTACGCAGCATCGACCCAAAAGAGACGCATCCGTTTTACTAACAAAAACAAAAATCCTTGCATATCCATAAAATATATGATGTTCAGCTATATTTCTTCCTCAATAAAGACGTTGAAAAATCCAGGTGAGCCTTAAATAATGATACCATGGACTGTATTACCCAGTAGTTTATGCCACGAGAGACGGCAAACCCTGGCATCATCTTTAAGCCTTTGAAAGCAAATGATAATTGTCTCTTGCCCTGGAAATGCAGGGAATTGAAGATTGATCAATATCCTCAATGGAACTTTAACGAGTTGCCAAAAGTGTATGGAGGAAATCAAACTCACATGAGTTAGATAACTATGAAAGAATCAATACCGACATTAAATAGTCATTTACCAGTCAAAGCTCAATACAAATAGTTTTCAGGCCAGGAACTCCATTACAGTATAAGCAGAAACCTCTTTGAAATAAAAATATGTAACTTTTACAGACTGATTAGATGTTGGATGCCTTGAAAGGTTTTATTAAATGAATCTCTCGAACCTGCAGAAGGTATACATAATGCATTTGCCTCGAAAAATAATTCTGATGCAGTGAGAAAAAAACTAAATATGCCTTTCACAGTAGAAACAACAAACAACACAAGGGCTAAGAAATCCAAAATGGGAAAGTACACATTCATAGCTTGAAAGATTTGTCTACATGAATTGATAGATAAGGAAATATATAGATTCTCGCAGTTTCACAATGCTAACTTTATTACAATGTAGAACCAGAAAAGAAAAGGATTCAATCCTACTAAAAACACAAAAAAATAAAAGTTTTTAACAACTATTATCTAGCATGAGTACCACTTTTAGCAGAGATCAGGTACTTCAGCTCCATCAAATGTTCATCATTTGATATATGGAGTGTAATACGAAGATTTGTCAACAAAGCTTCTTGTTCCCAACTTAAGGGACCAGAAGCATACAATGCTTCCAGAGTGCAGCGATAAGCATGCAACTCTAAGCAATGGATACTAGCGTCTGCTTCCTCTTTTGGAGGAAGCTGACATTTTTTTACCTCAACTGGATCAGAACAAGACTGTGCATCACTACAAATGGTATCTGATACTTGGCGAACAAGTGGTATAAAATGACTAGGACAGTTGTTTGGAATCTGATCATTAACACTACAACTACCAACAGAACAGGCATCACTGTCAGAATGATTAGATTCTGGGCTTCTATCTCTAGAACAGCTAAGAAGATTATTTTGTTTGGCTTTCTCCATTTGATTAAACTCATTTAATCTAGTTTTAAAGGATGCATGCATGTATTTTTCACCCAGAATTTCTCTTGGGTAAGCAACAGCATCTACCTTTTCAAGTGCAGGTGAAGCAACCACTCTATGCCTCCTATCATCCTTCTCAATTGCTCTTATTTTCTGGGCATGTCCATTATGCACTTCAATGATAGACGAGCAGTAGGGAGACATCCTCTTCAAGGACCTTGAAGAGACCAAAGGAGATTCCCTAAATTTAGAATCATTCTGAGTGATCAAGCAATCTCTTTTTGTTTGACTTTTAGCCCCCGCATTAAATTGTTGATCATAGTTTGAAATTGATAGCTTGCTAGCCTTTTCATTCTCGCATCCTCTGGAACCCTGCAAACAGGAGGAAATAGCATATCAGTCAGAGAATGCAAAACTGAGAACTATTTGGATTTATCAATTTATTTGAATCTAAAAAATCTCCCTTCTCCATTTCCTTGAAAAGATATAAGACATCAAATAAAAAGGTTGCACTGCCTAATATAAGCAATAAAAGAATTCTGTAGAAAAAGGATAGAAAGAAAGTTTGGCTAAAACAAGAAGCTGTTGTCAAATGCTATTCTTGCATTTAATATCGATATCATTTTGACAGGACATTAATTAAAAAAAAAAATAGTAATAAGTTGGCAGTCTTCAATTGAGATGAGAAGCCAAAAGCATTCCCTTCAAATCAGAGGTCCAAAACTGAAATTTAGCAGAAAAATTAAGTAAGAACATGATTACAAGGCATCAGGCAGAAAGACTAAAGAAGAATCATCTAAGCAATCAGCTTTAGTAATGAGATGAGATTGTCACATAAATATGGAAAGATTGCATCAATCCCGAATAGGAAGTACAAGTACCTTTGGCAATACAATCCATTTATCATCGTGCCATGTTTGTCTCATCCTAGTGTTGGTTCCTTTGACGATTAATTCCTGGGAGCACCCTAGTAGCCTCACCAAATATTGGTATCCATGCAAAACCTTCAAAATAGTGGCAAGCTTCCAAGAAATACCTTGAAATACCTCCACAACGTCCCCAGCTACACAATTCTCTATACCTTGCACCAGAGGTGGACATGGCCTTATAAACTTCCTTGATACCAGTTCCACAGTTAGTTCACTTTCCGTTCCCGGATAACAATCATATTGCACGGTACAAGTATGGCCATTAACAGACAGTATCTTGGCATTACGCCATGAGACTGGAGTATCCCTTTTGTTCATAACCTCCACGTTACTCAATCTTTTGAACTTCATTATAGGTGATATAGTACACACACAATAAGAATCTGTCAAAACCAAGATTAAAATGTCACATGACAACATATAAATCAAGAACTAAATAATAAAACAGAAAGACAGATCTGAAAGGAACAAAAAGTAGGCAAAACTTTTAATCTGCATCTAACTGTTGACAAATACAAATATCAAGAGAATAAAATGATTTTTCCATGAACTATTGAATCACATCATACAAATGCCAGATCTTCAATCCGTTTCATGAAAGAAAGAAAATGCAAATAGAATCCAAAATTTAAGAACTTGTCTCACAAGCAAAAATTCCAAGAAACAAGAACAATAAGAAATATAGCTAAGACCTTCATTTATTCAGGTAAATCAAATTTTTAACGTCAAGATTTTCTGATATAATAAAAGTATTCCAAAATAAATTGTTTACAGCAGTAATTCATCAATTACATTTATAATCACAAATGACTATTCAAATATCACTACCGTGATTCTTACAATTATCTATTTGATTAATATCCTTTAAACTTGTTTACTCAACAGATAATCAGCAAAAACCTAAAATGTGAAATACTAAGCAAAAACGTAAAAGTCCCCCAAAAGGTTTAAAATTGCATCAATGAATGTAAAAATCAAATGAATATCAAATAAATACATAAATTATTACAAAATCCCCAATTAAAAACAACGAAACTTAAAATCAATCGAAACCCTAAAACTGAGATCACTGACCTTATCTTGCAATTCAAGGTTACACTTCGATCTTGCAGGATTTTTTCCGAGTTTCTTATATTCGAAGTTCTCTAATTCACGATTTTCTTAAATTTAATTTTGTAATCTAGGGTTTATTTATATTAATAAAATTGTAAATTTTGTATCAGGTATAAAGGTTAATCTGGGAATATGAAAAATGTATTGTCCTTTCTATTGGCTAAATATATTCGTATCACAATTTTTATTTATTGCGCCAAATTTTAATTACACTTAAAGTTGTTAATCTTTTTCATTATATCACTTATATTCCTAATAATTTTTGATGTCGTTCTGATTCTCAAACTTTTAATTAATTAACACAATTTTATATTCAAAAGTTCATTGAAATGAAGTAAAATAAATTATCTTTTATCATAATTTTAAAAAATAAATAAATAAAAGATGCGAGAAATATTTTTTCTTCATTTCAAAGTATGAAAATAAAATATTTTGATATAAATTATCATTAAGGACAAGACGTACTAATTAATGAAAGGTTTAACATAAGATTTCGTAAAAAAAGAAGTTAAGAAAATAATTGATATAATGAGCAAATATTAAGGAGTTTAATTATACTTAAAATGTGGTGTATTTTAGTGTTGGAATTGGAGATCAAAAGAATTTTATAGCCACGCGCCTCCTAAAATGTTGCCACTCCGCCTCTTTTTTTTTTTTTTTTT